TGGCCTTATGGGCATTAAAGCTACCAAGATGAAGGCAGCACCCGGTGGGGGCATCGAAGATATCTATGAACTATTTGCAAAAGCCTTAAGCAAGGAGAATAGATAGGCTTTTAGTAGGTAACCACAATGAGGTCTAGAAGAAAGTTAGCCATATAACCGCTAGCAGGAGCCTCAAAAGAACCATGTTTTTATACAAAGGCAAAGGAATACAGTACAAAAGCACACAGTGGAAAGAGAAGCATACAGACTCCACTTGCTAATGAGAAGCTAAGTGTACAATAATGTGGGTACAATCACTACTGCATCAACTGGCTGAGAGGTTCCAAGCCAAAGGTTACATAACCATGAAATGCTTCCCCAATGAAAATGAGACTCCAATTCTGAGTCGTATTATGACAATATCAATCATGTAGACTTCTTTCACAGCTTCAGCTGCCACCCCGGACAGTGAATCACTAGCTCTTCATCTGTAAAATAGACCATAAGGTAAACCAGAAATGTTAGATGGGTCAAGCTTAAATTGTTTTCTCTGCGATATGTTTATGCATATATTTAGATGCAGTGACCAGAATAATAACCCCAGTAGCAAATGTTACTCAAGTGAATTTGATAGAAGAGTTAATATTAAATATTTTAAAGCCTTATGTAAAAATCATATCATCCTAGTGCATTTTATTGGACAACATAAAACATACATGAATATTATAGAAGAACAAAATATAACCTAAAAATTCAAAGCTGGCCTGCCAACTCTGCAATGATTGCCACAAAGGAAAATTCAACAACCAATTGATATTTTAACAAGGAAAAAAAATGGCTTTATTAAAAGATTTTTCAATTTGTCCAAGTGACAAACACTTAATGTGTATATGGAGTGTATACATGCACAGAATTTGTTTTTCCCATGTCATATACCCTTTTCACTAGAAGCCCCTAAAGATCATATTCAAACATTATTCACTATTTCTCTGTATGTTAAAGATCATTGTATATACACGAGTCACACAGCAGAAATATTATATAAACATGTATTTGGATAAATGGAATTTAATCTCATTTAATAAACAGAAAGTACAGTACTAACCACTATGGATTATTTTTAGTCTCTTACATGACTCTTGATATATAATTAATGATACTAAATCAATAATAAAAATATATGTTTAATGTTTTTAAAATATTTAAAGTATCTTTGAATGGTGTAGAAAATGAATTTCCCTAGAAACTAAATCAAGTTTATTAAAGATTATATTTGGAAAATGAAAACAAAGAAAATGTACAAAAGCAACCTACTCTCATACACCCACAGCCATCCATGATCGCATTTATGGGTGCATGATTCAGGGTGGAGCAGAGCCACCCAAGCTCCAAGAGCCTCCAGAGACCCAGTGAAGTCACTTCCTCCACTCAAGGGGATTTTGGATCCAAAACAGCAGCCATTACTATATCTTTAGAGCATACGAAAAAGGGTTGGTGGGGAAAGCTGTAGGCCTCCCCTGGAGAAAATTCAAGACTCTCCTGCCTCTGGCCAGCCTAGCGACCGCAACCAGGGCTGCTCAGGTGTGTTTACTCAGATGCAAAATGCTACTCACACTGCCCTTGTACAGAAAGAAGAAAGCCAGGCAGGGATTCCCACCCTGAAGCAAAGCCGGGTCACTCTCCATCTGTGAGGTCTGTCCTCTCAAATCAGTAGGTGTCAAACTCATTTGCTTTCTCTTAGGTATTTCCTTTTTTTTTTTGGTGCATTATTCATTCTAGATTTATTGGTAGTTTTCCTAAAAGAGGATCATCACTGTTTTTTCCCATTTTATCACTTATTTTCTGCAGCACTATGGATTCTCGGATTTTTACTTATTTAAAGTATAACTATCAGTGCATTTGTCAAGCTTAAATAATTAAAAATATTTTAATATAATCTAGTACTTAGTCCTCATTCAAATTTTTACAAGGATTGCAAGAATCAAGATCCAATCTATTTTTGATCCTTGCAACTGATTGTTTCATCTATTTCATTTCTTTTAGTCTAGAAGAAAGAAGCCAATAATTGGTTTATGACTTTGACTTTTTCTTTTCTTTGAGACAGTGTCTCGATCTGTTGCCCAGGCTGGAGTGCAGTGGCATGATCTTAGTTCACTGCAACCTCCCTCTCCTGGGTTCAAGCAATTCTCATGTCTCAGCCTGCCGAGTAGCTGGGATTACAGGTGCGTGCCATCACACTGGGCTTGTTTTTGTACTGTTTGTACAGACAGGATTTTGCCACATTAGTTAGCCAGGCTGACTTTGACTTTTTGATGACTTGTAAATGGTTGGTTGTGTATGTTTCATTTTCTCCTAATGTTTGGGTGCACCAGATCTATTTTTTCCCTTTCCTTTAATTTCATGCTAGAGCTTCTTCTAAGGACAATAAAAAAAAAATACATCTTATATAACAGAAATAAGATAAATTGTCCAAAAGAGTACCACATTTTTCTCAGTGAAATTAGAAATAGGATTCCCTGAAAAATATTTTTAAAATAGAAATTTAAATTGAAAACAGAAGTGACATGAATTCATAATAAAATCCTGATCTTGAAAAGGTACCATTGCTGTGGGTGCATTGGATAGATTGGCGAATGACTGTATAGGGTTTCTTCATCTTATAGCGTTGGGCTCACGTTAAAGCTTTCCATTTTAAAGGACTGAGATCAGCCTTGTAAAACATTAACAATTACCACCAGCTGTAATCTGGTAGCAACATTTGCAACAGGCAAGTTTCTTACGGGACCTCAGACCTATGTATATTTTATCCAAATGAATTAAGTGGATTGCTTTTTGAAGAAATCATATAGCTTACACTTACAAATCTGTCACTTTTGGACGTTAACTTTTTTTCTGAGACGCAGTCTTAATCTGTCACCCAGGCTGGAATGCAATGGCACAACCTTGGCTCACTGCAACCTCCACCTCCCGGGTTCAAGCAATTCTCCTGCCTTAGCCTCCCGAGTAGCTGGGATTACAGGTGCACGCCACCATGCCCCGCTAATTATTGTACTTTTAGTAGAGATGGGGTCTTACCATGTTGGCCAGGCTGGTCTCAAACTCCTGACCTCAAATGATATGCCCGCCTTGGCCTCCCAAACTGCTGGGACTGCAGGCATAACCCAACATGCCCAGCCCGGACCGGACATTAACTCTTGATGACAGGGGTATTTTCCTTTCAATATGCAAACAATTCCCACCAGCATCCTAGAGATTCAGGAGAAACCGAGTCTGTGTAGCAGAAAAGGAATGGCCTTTGAGGCATGACCAATGAGTTGTCCATCCTGGTGTCACCAGTACCCAACTACAACCTTGGATCAATAACTCCATGTCTGAGCCCCAGAAAGGTTGTAAAATAAAATACTTGTCACAGCTTTTCTACATGGTTATTATGAGAACAAGATTGGCTAGTAAAGCCCCTGACTTAGAATAGATACCCCACAATGTCAGTTCCCTACTCTTATTTCCCAATCTAACTCATGTAATCTGGTGGAATTCTTCTGGGTCCTAAAATGCTGGTAAATGAAATAATAGGTGTTTTTAATGCAGAATGTTTATCTAAGGCTAACACCTTTGTGAGTGATGCATTCGCACTATATCATCAAAGCGCACAATATTCATAAACTAATCTAATCTCAGAGACATGACGAAATTGTGAAATTGGGAATTGTGTCCCATGTCTTTTGGCCACTTCTCTGAAGAGATACAGTGTTCAATGAAGAAGCTGCAAATGGCCTTGTGGGTGCCTATCTTGCCTGGCAGTCACGTCTTTGAGGCAGGCGCAGGTAACAAACCAACGCCGATGTGAATGAATCAGTCTTTCAAGACACTTGATGATTTCATAGTCAGGAAGAGCAAGGCTGGTCACGTTCAAGCCTAGCATCTGGGACACCACCTCCCTGAAGTCTGCCAGCTGTAATATCAAACGGAAACTCATTAACTGGGAAAACAAAATGTATCAACTACTGCTGAGCCGAATGCAACAAACAGACCAAAAAACCTGTAGAAAACCCAGGTTTGCATGAGGTAGGGAAATTATCTACCCTCTTCATAGTTCTCTCACTTATAAAATACCAGGTTACAGATGAGTCCCATCAACTGCCAACCTTCAGAGATTTCACAACCACTTTTCTGATAAGCCAACTGATGTGGTATTGGCTACTGAGTCAAGAATCCCAGTTAGGTAACCATGAATGAGACCCTGACCTCACTAAGATTTCATTTTCCCAATTCCAGGTTGGGATTAGCCATACACCTAGCTCAGAAGGCCGTTCTGAAATTCAGATCAAATGAAATGGTGACTGTGTGTGTGCTCTGCAAACTAGGAAGAACTAAGCAAATGTTGGTGGGGTTGTGTCAAAGGATGGTAAACATGCTTTGGGATTTTAGCTGGCTGATAACCTCTTAAACTAAAAAAAAAAAGGAAAGAAAAAATAGCAAGAAAGTATATGCTAATGAAACCAGGAGGACTTCTAAATTACTATCAAGTCATATCACACAGATTGCCACTTCACAAGCCATTCTGTGGGACTGCTCTGGGACTTCCATTTGTCCCTTGAAGAAAGAAAAGTGGGGGGCTGGGAACAATGGTTGAAATATGCCTCATACCCCTTCAAATTCTCATAGGCTGGTTTCTGTGGTTCTAGGTTAATGCAAAATCAGATAAATCAGGGCATCTGGCCAACACCTCATTAAAGGCACCCTCCATTTTAGGAAAGGGTTGCTCCAACATCCAAGAGAATGCCACCCAAACAGTCCCACCCCAGGCTCATTGGCTCTGCAACCTCCTTCTCTTGCAGAGTCCAATTTGGGAATGGTGACATTTTCTCCAGATGTTATGGTTTGAATTTTATGACCCCTCAAAATTCTTATGTTGAAATCTAACGACCAATGTGAAGATATTAGGAGGTGGGGCCTTTGGTGGGTGATTAAATCATGAGGGTGGAGCCCTCATGAATAAGATTAGCGCCTTTATAAAAGAGGCCCTGGAAAGCCACCTTGCTCCTTCTACCACATGAGGACACAGCGAGAAGGGGCGGCTCTGAACCAGGAAGCTCACCAGACACCTTGATCTTGGACTTCTCAGCCTCCAGAACTGTGAGAAAGAAATTTCTGTTATTTATAAGCCACCCAGTAGATGGTACTTTGTTATAGCAGCCTGAAAGGACTAAGACACCAACCTAGTCTCCCTGATGAAAAAGTAAAGTTTCTCTCAGACTTCCACCTTGCCGATGTGGCCAAAGCTTTCAATTCCGAAGCGGTTTCCTTTCTGAGAACGTTCATTGTGTCATTTGGCTTTCCCCACCTCGGCCTGACACATGAACCAAAACAGAGGCAGCCAAAGCGGGGCGGGGGGGGAATATCCTAGGATCAGAGTCCATTCTATGCCCTTTTGAGCTTCAAAAGAAGAAAGAAACAAAAGCCAAAAAGCAATGGAGGTCAAGCTGCCCGGTACACGTTTCTTTATGCCTGACCTCCTGATGGACTCACTAGATAAAATGCTCCTCCTTGTAGCCAGCAAGCAAATGAGTACTTTTTTATGGCTTACATCTGTGCCTGGTTGGCCATCAAGTCTGGGTGCCACTGTTTGAGATTTGGGGCTGTTTCCTGCAACTGATCTCTGCTGCAGATAAGGCTTCCCTCCTGAGGCCAGAGCCCTGGTTAACGTTAAGAGCTCTGCAATGATGCAAACTTCAGAGGCGATCACCTAACTTAAAAAAACCTCCCCAGAACCAGAACCTGTTTTTTCACCAGAACCCTTCCGTTGCTTGAATAAGAACGTCTTTTCCTTTCCTGCAGTTTGTGCCATGAAAATGTGAATAATTTTTCTTAGAGGGGTGAATCAGAATGGTTACTTGAATGCCAAAAAGATGCTGGGGAAGGTGGATATGTTGAAAAGATACGAAAGCTTTGTTAATTGCTTTGAATAAATATGTGAATAGTTCTCACTTTGGGAGCACGTGTTAACATTGGAAGCTTAGAGAAGATTAGCATGTGCCTTGTGAAAGGATGACACACAAATTCATGAAAACAGTCCATTGTTTTAAATGAATAATTATTAATATCAAGTTCTTGAATTGTCCTGTCATTTCCTAAACAAGAAGAAAATCTTCCTAGATCTGGTTTCATCACCAGATTTAGACCCACCTGCTTTTCTCTCTTTTCTGCCTCTTCCAGAGATTTTTTTAGTGTCTTCATTTCACTGGTTACCACTTCTATCATGTTTCTGGCCCTTTCCTTATTCTCCTTAGCCTCATGTTCTGTGGCGTCCAGTTCTGACTTGACAGACATGAGCTTTTTCTCAGCTTTCTCCTTCATCTTCTCCAGCTGTTCTCTGGATTTGTTTAGATCTTCAATGGCTCTAGTCTGTTCCAAAGTTTTAATCTAGGAAGTCAAGACACTGCTGGTAACTACTGTTGTATTTACTTAGGAAAACTTTATAAACATGACAAATCAGAAGTCAATTTGCTTCATACCTTTTTTATGAATAAAGAATGGAATTCATCCCAAACAGTTACAGATCTTGCTAAGCATATGTACTGGACGAACATGTCTTAAGACAGTTATAATATAAACATATTAGAGTTCCCGGACTTGAAAAAAATCAATGAGATGAAACTGTAGACAGCATGATTCTGGGGTCAGATTTTAAAATTAATCCTGCTGGTATGTGCACACACACTCTATGGGCTCCAAAAGCAACTTCAACTTTCTGCCCCAATCAATGGGACTTTGCTGGTATATTAACAGTAGGAAGAGCAACATGTCTCCTCTGCTAATGCTGTATCCCTTGAGGATCCCACCTCAAAACCATCTCAGCAAGTCTTCACAACTGCTATGAGGAAGACATAGATAGGCACTTTTTCTGTTGAAGCATCTTCTAACTTTACCAATGAGTCTGGGAGGTAAACAGCTGCAACTGTGGGACGGAGTGATGTCTTTTTCAGAGAAACTGTCCCAAGATCTTAAAGCCAAAACACACAGTATGCTGGAGTGTGAGGCACATTCTCTGTATTTGCTTATTATTTAAGATTAGGCCAGAGCTGCTTACAAAAAGAATTTAAGGCTGAGTATGGTGGCTCACGACTGTAATCCCAGCACTTTGGGAGACTGAGGTGGCCGGATCACCTGAGGTCAGGAGCTCAAGATCAGCCTGGGCAAAATGGTAAAACCTCATCTCTACTAAAAAAAAAAAAAAAAAAAAGGAAAGAAAAGAAAAGAAAATTACAAAAATTAGCCAGGCATTGTGGCAGGCACCTGTAGTCCCTGCTACTTGGGAGGCTGAGGCAGGAGAATCACTTGAACCTGGCAGGCAGAGGTTGCAGTGAGACAAGATCGTGCCAATGCATTACAGCCTGGGCCACAAAGCAAGACTCCATATCAAAAAAAAAAAAAGAATGAAATTCTGACACATACTACAACTGCAACATGGATGAACCTTGAAAACATGCTAAATGAAATAAGCCAGACACAAAAGGACTAATTCCACTTATATGAAGTCCATAGAATAGGCTAATTCATAGAAATTGTATGTAAAGTAGAAGTCACCGGGGGCTGGGGAAGAAGAGAAATGAGAGTTATTGTCTGATGGGCACAGAGTTTCAGTTTGAGATGATGAAAAAATTCTGGAAGTGGATAGTGATCATGGTTGTACAACATTGTGAATATACTTAACACCACTGAATTGCACACTTAATAATGGTTAAAATGATATATATTATGTTGTTTTTATTTTACCACAGTAAAAAAAAGGATTTGAAGCAACTTTACACAAACATAAATTGTTTTTGACTAATCATTAAATATAATACAAATGAGCTACAATTTAGTATCCACCAGGATGGCTAAAATAAAAAAGACAGACAATAACAAGTGTCAGCAAGGATGTGAGGAAACTAGAACTCTCATACACTACAGGTGGGAATGTAAAATGCTGTGGCTGCTGTGGAAAAGAGCTTGCCAGTTTTATAAATATTAAATATAGAACTACCATATGACCCATCAATTCCATTCCTAGGCATATGGGCAAGAAAATTGAAAACTTATGCCCACCCAAAAATTGTACACAAATGTTCACTGAAGCATTATTTATAATCACCAAAAAGTAGAAACAACCCAAATGCCATCAGCTGATGAATGGAAAAACGAAATGTGGTATAGCCATACAATGGAATATAATTCACCAGTGAAAAAGAATAGAGTACTGTGACATTCTACCACATGGGTGAACCTTGAAAACATCATGCTGAGGGAAAGAAGCCAATTGCAAAAAAACACATATTCTATTATCCCATTTATATGAAAGATCCAGAAAAGGCCAATGGCTAGTGGGAGAGCAGAATGGGGAGCCACCACTGATGGGTACAGGGTTTCTCTTAGAGGTGATGAAAATGTTCTGAAATATGATAGTGGTGCCTTTTCTGTATGTGCATATACTAAAAATATGAAATTTTACAGTTTTTTCTGAGACTCGGTCTTGCTCTGTCACCCAGACTGGAGTGCAGTGGCATGATCTCAGCTCATTGCAACCTCTGCTTTCTGGTTTCAAGCAATTCTTGTGCATCAGCTTCCCCAGTAGCTGGGATTACAGGTGTGTACCACCATGCCCAGCTAATTTTTGTATTTTTTGTAGAGATGTGGTTTTGCCACGCTGGCCAGGCTGGTCTTGAACTCCCGGACTCAAGTGATCCTCTCACCTCAGCCTCCAAAATTGCTGAGAATACAGGCATAAGCCACTGCATCCAGCCTAAATTGTACACTATTAAAAAGTGAATTTTATGGTATATCAACTATATATTGATAAAGCAGTTATTTGAAAGTGCATTTACAATCAATCTCTTGAAAAGTATCAAAATTAATTACCTTGAAATAAATAAACATACACAATGACCAGTACAGCTCTAAATTTAGTTCTGAGCTTCCTGACAATTGAGATAAAGTGTTCAAGTATATTTTCAAAGAAAAAGTGTTATTTTGTGTTTTAGTCTTGTGGTTAAATCATTTTTTAAAATACATAAGAAAGTAACAGAATAACAGATACCAAATAATAAGCATTTGTTGTCTTCTCCCTTGCCTCCCATCCCTTCTTTCCTTTGGTTTTTTGTTTGTTTGTTTGTTTTTGTTTTTTTGAGATGAAGTCTTGCTCTGTCTCCCAGGCTGGAGTGCAGTGGCTCAATCTCAGCTCACTGCAACCTCTGCCTCCCAGATTTAAGCAGTTCTCTGACTCAGCCTCCTGAGTAGCTGGGATTATAGGTGCATGCCACCATGCGCAGCTAATTTTTGTATTTTTAGTAGAGATGGGGTTTCACCATCATGGCCAGGCTGGTCTTGAACTCCTGACCTTGTGATTCACCCGTCTTGGCCTCCCAAAGTGCTGGGATTACAGGCATAAGCCACCGAACCCAGCCTGTCCCTTCTTTCCTAAGAAGAAAGGGTATTTTCTTGATGCATCTCCATTTATCTAATTGCTTCTAGGTAGAATTTGAGTAAAGGGGGAGATTGTCAGGAAGGAAGCAAACCAGGGAGGGGAGGGGAGGGGAGGGGAGGGGAGGGGAGGGGAGGGGAGGGAAGGGGAGGGGAGGGAGGGGAGGGGAGGGGAGGGAGGGGAGGGGAGGAGAGGAGAGGGGAGGGAGGGGAGGGGAGGAGAGGGGAGGGGAGGTAGGGAGGGGAGGAGAGGGGAGGGAGGGGAGGGGAGGGGAGGGGAGGGGAGGGGGGGGAGGGGAGGGGAGGGGAGGGGAGGGGAGGGGAGGGGAAGGAGTCTATGCTAACTAGGCTGCAGGAAAGCCTTCTTGAAGAAAACTAGAATCATGCCAGTGGGAACTGTGAGAAGGCATTGGTGTTGTGCAGCAATGAATGAGAGATAAAGAGGGATGAGAATGTTACTGCCCCTGATGAGTGAAATCTCTTTGTATTTTTTTACTGATGATAATAAAACTGGCAACTCCCATTCAGTTGCTGAACTCCTGATTATGTATTGCTGAAGGGCTTTAGATGACTGTGACTTACACTGATAACATTTGGAGGCTACAATCAGAGATTGAAATCTCTCCCTACAGTTGGACTTACAGTACATCTTCACCGTGGCTGAGTATCTGAATCATGGCACAAAGTAAGCCTGTTCTATACTCGGAATGCTCTCACTATCCCACTGGAAAGTCTGAGGAATGAGAGCAACTGTTGTAACATTAGGACATGATCTAAAGGAGATGTGGCTGCTTGGGATATAGATGTCCAGATAAAAACAAATCAGATTTATACCATTTTGCATGACTTCGCTAAATTGAGGAGACCTGTGTCAAACACCTGGTGAACTCATAAACTAGAAACCAGTTTTTACCTGCTATAACCCATAGAACTTATTAAGACACAAAGTTATTTTGCTATCATCTGAATGTTTGTGTCCTCCTAAATTCATATGTTGAAATTCTAACCCCCACAGTTATGATATTAAGAAGTGGGACCTCTGGAAGGTGATTAGGTTATGAAGGCAGAGCCATCATGAATGGGATTAGTGCTTTTATAGAAGAAGCCCCAGAGAGCTGCCTCACCCCTTCCACCATGTAAAAACAGCCAGAAGGTGTCATCTATGAACAAGGCTACGTGCTCTCATCAGACATCAAATCTTCTGGCACCTGGATTTTTCACTTCCCAGCCTCTAGAACTATAATAAATTTTTGTTGCTTATAAGCCCCCTGTTTGTGCTATTTTGTTATAGTACCCTTAATAGACTAAGATACCTTTCTAGACAGAGAGGAGATCGATGGCAGACATTCTCAGATAGGTTTGTAGCTATTGACCTGGCTCCATCCAAAGGAGATGAAATCCTTTGGAACTGACAGCTTCTATGAAACTTACCATCAAAAAGGCATAAGAACAACTGCTGTAGCTTCAGAGATATGCAGAAAATAAAATGTCAACAGCTGGGAAAAAAAATTCTAAGTGAGCAATGGAGCCAATGAAAAATGTCACCAGTAGAGCAGGCACCTGAGACAGGGCAATGTCACCCGCTAAGTGCAGGTCTACAGGGGGAGACCTTGCAGACCATTTATGGATCCCAAGTTATCAAAACCCTTATTTGATTATAAACTTCACAGTAGATGTCAATATATCAGGGTATCGTCTCCATGTTAATGTCAGCATGTGCTGATTGTATTGTGGTCATGTCGAAGAATGCCCTGTTCGTAAGTGATGTGTGGGAAAATATTTGGGGGTGAAGTGTCATGATGCTTCCTACTTATTTTCACATGCTTTGGCAAAAATAAAACATCTATCTCTCTCTCTCCAGGCAAAATATAGTAATCAGTAAAATACTAACAATATATGTGAAGGGTTAAAGAGTATCCATCACACTATTCCTGCCATTTTCTACAGATAAGAAATTTTTCAAAACAATTGAATATTTTCAAAACAAGAGCTGGGAAAGGGGATATATGGATCATGGATCCTACTAGTAGGAGTTTTTGAATATGAATGTATATGTATTTATAAGTTACATAAACACACTGCTTGAAATAAAATATTCTGTACACTCTTAAACATTTTACAAAATAGGGACATTTCATTAATTAAATAGCAGTTTTTAAAACAAAATGATCTTCCTTTAAAACAAAAAGATTCCCTTCACATACAAACTAACTCACTGCTACAAAGAAAATATGTGGCAAATGGTAAATTGCTGGGATTGGTATGTTGAATTTTAAATTTTATATTTATAAAAGAAGAGATACATTCAGCCTGTCCGTTCAGATTGGGAAAACATTTACAGCGGGCTCTCTACCAAAGGTGATAGAACACAGCTTGGAGGTCTAGAAGCTCATGAATCAAGTCCTAATGAGAAGAATTTGTTGCCAAGAATCTCTGCAAAATATGAGACTTTATCAGAATCCTCAGGGCTGCCTGAATCTTTGTTCCCAGGAAGCAAGAACAAGTAATGGAGCTCTGAGCCAGGCCACCAGCACAGAACAGGGAGCCAACAGTGGTGAAGAAAGCCTCAAACCCAACAGCAGATTCCTGAGAGTGGAGTGGGACTGAGCTGGTTTCTTAATCCTCCTAAGGGAACTGCTCAGACCCAGCTCAGAGTTCAGCAGAAACTGTGCCCCTAATTTTCATCCAGTGGGACAGAACTGGTCATAAACAAGATTGATGTGCTGTTCAGACTCTAGCAAGGGCAGAGAAGGTTCCAAGTGTGTTTTGCTATCATAAACACTGTATCTACTGTCTGCTTCCTTAAAAAAAAGAATTTTAAAATCCGGTGAACAATTCTCTCATGTTATAAGGGCCAAAGGCCCAGAAAGGAAAGATGATTAAATTTAAAAATGTGATGTGTTGGCTCCCTGAGAGGATCTACATTCTACAGCTGGAAGGTTTCAGGAAGCTGCATTGAAAACACCACCCAGTAGGAGCCAGGAACTGAGCACAGGCTCTCTGAATGAGATAGGACAGCAAAGTGGGAGAGTCTTTTGATGACCCAAATAGATGCTGTGTCCCTCTTTGAAGAGGACACAGAAATTTAACTAAGTAGAAAACATCATCAAGATGGTTGACTAAGGCAACCAACTCTCATCTCCACCACACAGAAGGACCGAAACAGCAAATAGATAAGCACATCTCACATAGCGTCTCTAGGGAGGAACACTGGAATTCAGCAAGCAAGTGGCAAAGACCTTCTGAGATGCAGAAACTCAGGAGGGCGGCATAGAAAGGAAAGAGAAGCAGTCAGCCAGGTTCCTCTTGGAGCCAAGAGAGACTCCCCATTGCAGGAAAAAGGTAAGTGGGAGATTCCCCAGCAGTCCACATGCACACCATAGACACCTGCCAACTTAGCTACCAGAGACCACAGACCTTAGAGGGCACAAGCCCAGTAGGAAGAGCTGTGTAGAGTCTAGGTAACCTCATTACACCCAAGAGGAAATTTATGCTGAGCCAAACTCACTTCCTGAGACCCTAAGTGCATGTCCCCAGAGCCTGATGGCCACCTACGCATGGCCTCCTGCCATAACCACTGGCAATCCATGCCCTGCTTCCAGTGGTGGGATCCCCCTCATCCCTGCATGTGTCACCCAAGGTCCAAGGACCAGCCTGCCAAGCATCTCCATCCCCAGCAAAGCCACATCACAGCCTCCACAACACACCACACCCTAGGCCACTGAAGTACTCACAGATGCCACCAACATTGATTACAGCTAAAGAAATCATACAGAGACTACACAACCGTACCCTCCCAGAACCAAAGCCAAAACACCCTTCCTAATCAACAATATAGGCCATATCTACAGGAAAAAGTCTTTCCCTACAAAAGCGGCTCCATAAAATTGGAAGAAGTGCTTGTTTCAACAGATGTACAGATACAAACATAGGGACACAAGACGCATGAAAAAAGCAAGTACACCTCTACAAGAACACAATAAATCTTCAGTAATAAATCCCAAAGAAAAGGACCTCTATGAAATGCTTGACAAAGAATTTAAATAATGGTCTTAGGGAAACTCAACAAAATAAAAGAGAACACAGATAGATAATTCAATAAAATAAGAAAAAAAATTACGATCTGAATAAGAAAGTCAGCGAAGACATAAAGAAAACCACGGTTAAATCTTGCAACTGAAGAATTCAATTAATAAAATTAAAAACATTATTGAGAGCTTCAACAATAGACTAGATCATGCAGAAAAATAATTTCTAAAGCTGAAAACAGGTCTCTTAAAATAACCCAGTCAAAAAAAGGAAAAATAATGAAGAACGTCTATGTGGCATAGAGACACCATTAAGTGAAGAAGTTGCATTATTGGATGTTACGGAAGGAAAGGAAATCAAAAGGCATCAAAAACCTACTTAATGAAATACTAGTTGAAAATGTCCCAAATCTTGTGAGAGATATGGACAGACAGATACAGGAAGCTCAAAGATCCCCAAATAGGTTCTACCCAAAAAGGTCCTCTCTCAGATACATTATAGTCTATAAGTCAAAAGTGAAAGACAAAAAGAGAATTCTAAAAACAGCAAAGGAAAAGCATAAAGTCACATATCATATAAGTCACATATAATACACTGTTAATCCATCAGATTAATAGTGGATTTCTCAAACCTTACAGGTTAGGAGATAATGGGATTCAAAATGAAAAGGAAAAAATGCCTATCAGCAATACACAAAGTTATTCTTCAAAAAACAAAGATAAGTAAGTTTTTCCCAAACAGCAAAAACTGAAGGAACTCATCACCACTAGACAAGTCCAAGAAGAAATGTTTAGGAGACCTATATCTAGAAGCAAAAAATGATGTTTACCAGAATGAGAACACATGAAAGTTAAAATTCACTATTAAAGCAGATACACAAATGGGAAAGAGAAATGAATCAAATGTTATCACGACAGAAATCACCAAACTGCAAACTATGAAGATCATCAATAAGAGAGGAAAGAAAGAGCAAATGATACATAAAACAACCAGAAAACAATTACCAAAATGAAAGGAGTCAGTCCTCACTTACGAATAACAACCTTGAATGTAAATGGTTTAAATTCCTTATTTAAAAACTATAGCCTGAAAATACATTTATCTCCAAGGTCAACCCCTGTAGACCCATACTTAGTGGGTGGCATTTTTCTGTCTCAAGTGCCTGCTCTGCTGATGCCATCACAAACAAATGATAGAATGGCAGTAACAAGTTCTTACTTACCAGTAACAGCATTGAATGGAAATGGTCTAAGCTCTCCAATTAGTGGCTAAATGGATTTTTTTTTTAACTCAGCTACATGCTACCTATAAGAAATTCACTTCACCTGTAAAGACACACATAGACTAAATGTGAAGAGATGGAAAAAGATATTTTAAGCAAACAAAAGCCAAAATCAAGCAGGACTAGCTATACTTATAGAAAACAAGCTGAATTTTAAGTAAGAGAAAGACCAAAAATGGTGATTGTATAATGATTAAAAGATCAACTCAACAAGAATTTATAACAATTGTAAATATATATATATATATATATATCCAACACACCCAGATACATAAAGCAAATATTGTTAGAGATAACAAGAGATAAATCCCATTATAACAATGGTTGAGGACTTCAACACCTCACATTCAGCATTGGACAGATCCTATAGACAGAAAATCAACAAAGAAGGCTTGGACATAAACTATACTATGGAACAATTTGACCTAATAGACATATACAGAATATTTCATTCAACCACCGCAGAATACATGCTCTTCTCATCAGCACATGGAACATTCTCCAGGATAAACCATACATTAGATCACAAAACAAGTCTCAACAAATTTTTTAAATAGAAAGCATGTCACAAGTATCTTTTTAGACCACAGTGGACTAAAACTAGAAATCAATCACAAGAGAAACTTTGGAAATTGTACAAATACATGGAAATTAAACAACAGGCACCTGAGTGACCAATGGGGTCAAGGAAGAAATTAAGAAGAAAATTCAAAAAGTTCTTGAAACAAACAAAAATAGAAGCACAACATATTAAAACCCACGAGATACAGCAAAAGCAGTACTAAGAGAAAAGTTTATAGCAATAAATGCCTACCTCAAAAAGGTAGAAGGAGTTTCGGTTTCAAAATGGTGGCATAGGCTGGGAGCAGTGGCTCGTGCCTGTAATCCCAGCAGCTTGGGAGGCAGAGGTGAGTAGATCACCTGAAGGCAGGAGTTTGAGACCAGTCTGGCCAAAACGCCGAAACCCCATCTCTGCTAAAAATACAAAAGTTAGCCAGGCGTGATGGCACGTACCTGTAATCCCAGCTATTTGGGAAGCTGAGGCAGGAGAATTGCTTGAATCCAGGGGGTGGAGGTTGCAGTGAGCCAAGATTGTGCCACTGCACTCCAGCCTAGGCAACAGAGTGAGACTCTTGCCAAAAAAAAAAAAAAAAGGTGGCATAGAAGCAAACCAGTTGCACTGTTCCCCCTGAACCTTGAGATACGCAAAAGCAAATACATAGCATCAAGATTATCACCCAGAACAATAGCCTAGAACTTGAATATAAGGATGAGACAGATGCTAGAGCCACAGAGAAGTGAAAAAACTCTAAGCATAGAATAAGAGAATCAGACTTCCATGGCCACGATTCCCCTCCCCGCAATCTAACCAAGGCCACAAGTGCAGAAAACCTCCCCCAACTCGTGGTTTCGGTAACAACGGAAAAAGTAAGATCAGGGTGAACAACCAACTTCCCCAACATCTCAAATTCCATGATAAGAGGTCAGTTCCTGCCTCAACACACAGAAAGCATCATGAGTGCCTGAAGGGAAAAATATCTCTGAGGACAG